CTCTCCTCTCACTCACTCTCTCTTCGTCTCTCACCGTACACCACTCTCTCTCTCTCTCTCTCTCTCTCTCTCTCTCTCTCTCTCTCTACGCACTTCCTTCCTTTCATGTTTTTTTATCACTTTTTTTTTTTTAGGCATGTGATTTTTTATTGTACAATCAAAGTCAAAGATAACGCGGTTTGTGTGATGCGCATCCCAACATCTAACAGGTTTTTGTAAGAATATTTGATACGTACTATAGTGTCACCAATTCTCTAAAAAAGAAACATAATATGTTTCAGCTCATGTTGTTGCTTCAAAAAGAAAGAGAAAGACCGTGCAGGTTGATATATATAGTGCCATATTGATGCAGCCAAAAGCCACCTTTGGGGTTCATCCATTGAACTGACAAGGAAGAAACCTATATCCATGTCGCGGATGGTGATTATCTATATCCAATTTTCTTAGATCAGCATGCTTGTTTTAGTTTCCTCTAAAATTTCAAGATAAGCATATCAGCTTCTTCAAATCTTGAAGGCATAAGAGAGTTCTCATATCATGGGCATAATATGCTAGAAAAAGTGGGCCTCAGGTCAACCACCCCCCAGGGAAACTATCAAAGTTAATTTTGACGGTTGCTCAAGGAGCAATCCAGGTCCAACCAGGGACAGTGGAGCCTTCCGAGATCACGAGAGGAATATTTTACTTGCGTTTGCGAAACCCCTAGGCCACACGAACTCACAACGTGCTGAAGCAATGGTACTGTTGATGGGGCTCAAGCTCTTTAACCCCTCATGAGGATCTCACTTGATAGTTGAAGGGGACGCATACAATATTATCTCTTGGGCTTCTGGAAAGTCCATACCACCTTGGTACTTAGCTTCGATCTTTGATGAGATTGAATTCCTTTGCAGGGATATCAACGTCTCATGGAGGCATATCTTCAAGACATCCAACAAGTTCACAGATCACATGGCCAATGACGGAGCCGATCTTACAAACAGTATTGGACCTCCTTGAAGTTAGCTGCAGAGTTTCTCTCCTGCTCACCACTTGCATTTACGTTGTAAAAAAGAGTGTTTTATAAACCCTTACACGGTTTGGCTGCACCAACTTTTTGTTGTCATAGTACTAGACTGTTTTCTTTTCCTGTTTTTTCTGTAGAGGGATCACCTAGCCCCGTCAGGACTCCGATAACTCCCAATATTTGTATGGGATGCTCCCAACACTTGTAAATACTATTTTCTTATTTAAAGAAATAGTTAACTTTATCAAAAAAAAAAAAGTGGGCCTCAGGTCTCCGCAACATCAGAGTTTTCAAAAAGCTTACTGTTTAATTAAAAATGCTAACAACAATTGCAATGGAAGTTACAGACAGATTCTGAGAGACATTGGTTACTAAATTCATCACGAAGAGCATCTTACTAGGAAAAAATGCTGCAGAAGGTATGTGTGCACCAAGCTATGGTATCGGACAGCGCCGAACTATAAATTCTCAGGAGAATTGAAATGGAAGTCACAGCCAGATAGTGAGATAATGTGGTTGTGAAATACATCATGGAGATGAACCACTCAGGTTAAAGAGGCACATGGGCATTGTAGGATGGGATGCATACATGTTGAACAAGAACAAATCTATAAATTATTAGTACAAACTTGATCTTGTTTAACAAAAGATTAGACTAGTGGTTGGGGACTGGCATAGGTCTCAATTTCAGTATGATGGGTGCGCATGGGAGGGCTTTAAGTGATGACGACTTTCCTTGGATCTTAGCATTAGCTAGGCAGTTGGACTGTGGATACCTGCACTTTACTTTCATGTCAGTAGGGATGAACTGGATTCGCTCTTAAAAAGAAACTCACCCCATAATAAACCAGAGGATCTAATTTCCTTAGAGGGGTCTTTTGAGTGGTTCTTTGGACAAGATAAAATTAGGCTGGAGCCAGAAACATTGTGTGAGTTCTCCAACAAGTCTGCGTATATATTACGGTCACACAAGAAAATCTCTTTCCTATGAGGCAGATTTGGAGGCAGTACACTCCCTCAATGGTGGCTGCTTTCTCATGGTTTTGATGTAAAAGCTAGTATTAGATCTGAAATTATCGATCTGATTCTTAGTAAGAATGATGCCAAAGGCAAAATCTCTTTGCCTAACACAATTACATAAGGAATGTGGGAAGGTCTGTTAGGTTTGTTTGATTCTACATTTCTACCATTAGAAAACCTGATTCCTTAATATCCTTAATGTGGATGGAAGCAACAGCACAACAGAATGAAAGGAGAAATACTCTTCACAGCTACCATTTGGAGGAAATAGGAGGATACAAGCAACATGGCATTTAATTAAAATTACTGCTATGAACAGGAGGTGACGAGATAATAAAAAAGGGATGCCATAACTCGGGCAATGTCACACCAGCTGTTGTTCAGCAATCTTGGACCAGAGTCACCGAGAGCATATGCCAAGCCTAGATAGCAGGTATCTGGGCATCCACACAATCAGAGGATGTTTAAATGAATTAATACCAGCACAGAGGCATTACTCAAAAGTCAAAGCAATAGTGATGATTAATGAAGATTGTCTCCTTCATAGAAGGTCTCCTTCACAGTGCACTTGGAAAACATGAGCTGCTTCATGTATGATGTTTGAGATGTCCAGAGAACATATCATCTTACAATGTGTATGAACCAATGGAAGGACTCTGTCCCGCAATATCTATTGATAACACCTCTAAAGTAGCAACCTAAATGGCGCTCAAGCGCCAAAGAAATATGCAAGCACAATCCCTTGAGTAAGAAAATGTACATTTAGGCCAGCGCATATGGTATAACAATATAGATAATACCCAATAATTGCATTTGGGATGTTTGAGTCAAACAATAATAATGATTAATGAAGATTGTCTCCTTCATAGGAGGTCTCCTTCACAATGCACTTAAAAACCATGAGCTGCTCCATGTATGATGTTTGAGATGTCCAGATAACATTTCATCTTACAATGTGCATGAATCAATGGAAGGCCTCTGTCCCATGATATATATCGATAAAACCTCTAAAGGAGCAACCTAAATGGCGCTGAAGTGCCAAAGAGATATGCAAGCACAATCCTTTGAATAGGAAAATGTACATTTAGGCCGACGCATATGATATAACAATGTAGATAATACCCAATAATTGCATTTGGGATATTTGAGTAAAACAATAGTGATGATTAATGAAGATTGTCTCCTTCATAGGAGGTCTCCTTCACAGTGCACTTGGAAACCATGAGCTGCTTCATGTATGATGTTTGAAATGTCCAGAAAACATCTCATCTTACAATGTGCATGATCAATGGAAGGACTTTGTCCCATAATATATATCAATAACACCTCTAAAGGAGCAACCTAAAGGGCGCTGAAGCGCCAAAGAAATATGCAAGCACAGTCCCATGAGTAAGAATATGTATATTTACGCCAATACATATGATATAGCAATATAGATAATAACCAATAATTTCATTGGGATGTTTGAGTAAAGAGTAAACCTCACAATTGCTGGGCAGCTATAATGAATAGTAATATAAGTGGAATCCCAATCGTATAAAAATATAAAAAAATTATTGAGCACCTATAAAAAAATTATTTTAAATAATTTAAAATGACCAAATTACCCCCGTCATTTTTCAGTGGTATTTCGGACATTTTATATTTTGGGAAATATTTTTTATATATTTTTTAATTGTGCGGCCTATCTTTTAGTACACACGTCTAAAATTTCATTATGATCCGATTTCTAGAAAAATATTAAAATTCATAAAGTGATATGCATTCTGATTAAGATGAAATTTTGGGTGTATACACCTAACACTATTGCACACAATATAAAAATATAAAAAAATTATTTTCAATAATTTAAAATGACCAAATTACCCCTGACATTTTTCAGGGTATTTTGGCCATTTTATATTTTGGGAAACATTTTTTATATTTTTTTTAATTGTGCACCCTGTTTTTTAGTACACACGTCTAAAATTTCATTATGATCCGATTTCTAGAAAAAATATTAAAATTTATATAGTGATATGTATTCTGAACAACATGATGAATATCTGACGGCTGGGATTCCACCTATATTACTATTCATTATAGCTGCCCAGCTATTGTTTGCTTTTTCCTTGAGTAAAACAATGGTGATAATTAATGAAGATTGTCTCCTTCACAACGCACTTGGAAACCATGAGTTGTTTCATGGATGATGTTTGAGATGTCCAGAGAACATTTCATCTTACAATGTTCTTACAATGTACATGAATCAATGGAAGGACTCTGTCCCATAATATATATATCGACAACAGCTCTAAAGGAGCAACCTAAATGGCGCTGAAGCGCCAAAGAAATATGCAAGCACAATCCCTTGAGTAAGAAAATGTACATTTAGGCCAACGCATATGATATAACAATATAGATAATACCCAATAATTGCATTTGGGATGTGAGAGAAAGCAGAATTTTCCAAATCAGAAGCATTGTTGGCCAATATGGGTGACAACACTCATAGGAGGTAAAGGCAACTAACTTAAATCATTAAACATGTGGTAATAGATTAATACAAGGGCATTTGAGCTCTTTTAATAGATTAAACTCATAGGAAAACTTCCATGACAATGATAGTAGTACACAGAAAATCTGCAGAAAAGCTAAGATACCAGTGAAACACAAGTGCTTAACATGGGGTATAAGGCTGCAGGACGTTGTCAAATTTTCTACCAAAATGATTACTTAAACTCATAATTGCACACCAAGAAAAGTTTTGATGTCAAAATACAGAATATTCAGCAATGGAAAATGAAATAACAACAAATGTCCATCCTTGTAGCCATACTCATACCTCAACCACATCAGGCCTTGAGCATATTTGTTTCAGTTCCGCAATCTTCATCCTCCTTTGCAGCTACAACATAAAGAATCGACCACACCAATTTTTAACAGCAGAATAGAAGGGGGAAAGAAAGGAAAAAGATCACCATCAGAAGTGAACCTTTTTCTTTTTGTTCGAGACGCCTTTTTCTTTCTGTTGGCCATCTTGCTCATCCTCATCGGAGTCAGAGTCGGCTTGCTTCTTTGCTGCTGCTGCTGCATCTAGACCTGCTTCATCCTTCTTATCGTCATCCTATCCATTCCAATGCCACATGAGTTGTAACTTGTAAGTTATGTTAGCGCATTACTAACAAGACATTACAGTTCACTTCAGCTCCAAAATGTGAACCTTGGCCATACCTTGTCACCAAGCCCAGCATCCCCAAAGCAAAACTTCTCAAAGACTTTTTTAAAATCATCCAAGAGATCTTCATCCAACACTGTCTTTTCTGGAACATACTCCACTTCAACTCGCTCCTGACCCTGTTATCAACCAATCGACGAAAGTTAACTCTTGAGAAGAACTTATTAGAGAGGTTCCCTAGTCCACAAACAAGGAAATGAAAGTATCAGTGGGAAAACCATATAACGTGAATGGTAAACGATAGCACACCATAGGGACATATCCGCAGTCCATATCTCTATGGAGGGAACAAGGGACAGTTACTCTCTGAAGTCCGTCATAATGAAATGGGTTTTGATGCCGCCATATCGATGACATATGGTAAAAAATACTTTTTACATTGAACTCTTAGGCTCTTAGCCCCAGCTAACATTGTAATATATCCATTATTAACATTTTATCCCCAGGTCAGGGATCTTTAGTCCATCATTAAGCTAACTAAAGTTTGGGTATTGTTGGGGATATGCCATGGGGTTCATTGTCTTGCTAAAGATGGGGAGTTTTAGGTGATACATGAGCCATGGGGTTGATAGCTGCTCAGTGCATACTAGAACAAGAAAGGAAAGAAAGGGGTGGAGGTTACTTCATACATACATAAATAGGAGGCTCAAATTAGCCATCCATTGTTACAACAACTATCAAAAAAGGGTAAGGTTTGTATAAGGTGCCCACCTCATATCATACACATAAGGCAAATTTTACCAGAAGATTTAAATTCTGATTATGAAATTTAAAATATAGAAAATGGTGCACATCTAGTAGATCTATTAACACTGGAAAATGCTGAAAATATAAGGTCTAAATAACCTGTTACCTATAAATCTATAAATCTCAAGGTCAAGATGATCAATTAAAAGGTTTTCCAACTTTGGAACACTCTTTTCTACTAGAAGTTTTTAGTTGCATCTTACTTCTAAAATGTAAGAATTGTAAGTTGCAACCTTATATAAACTTTTTGCATTGAGGGGGAAAAAAAAAGAGAGAGAGAATAGATGTAAATGCGAAATTATACCAAATTAAAAGACTCCATAACATTATATACAAAGCAAGTACAAATGTTCCAAACAGCTGAATTGCTTGAATTTAAACACATACATCTCTCGTCGGATCCAACATCCTCCATACTAAGGCACCGATTTAGAGGAGGAAATGAATCCCTAATTTTCCGCTCCTCACTCTCTAGAGAATCCCAATCAAGATAAGTCCCCAAGATATTGAGGAAATTGAATAGAGCCTATTTCATCCAATAAGTAAAAAAAAAAACTTGCTAGAAATTACTAGTTGTTATAAAGGAGAAAAGCCCCATAGTAGCAGTACCTCATGATGATGGACAGTTGGCTTTCCATCGCCGTGAGCATTATCATCATCATCAGCATCACTTGTAGAAGCCGTATCAGCATTGTTGTTATTATGAGTCTTGTTTTTCTTTTGCTTCCTCCTCCTCCTCCGTCGATCCGCCTCCTTCAGAGATTTCTTATTGTAACTGTTCATGGTGACTCCTCCTCCATTCTCAGTAGTAGTAGATGCATCACTATTGTTGTTGAAGATTTTGTTGTCTCCTCCTCCATTAGCCACCACAATTCGTTCTTCCACTGTCATCTCTCTCCCAGTCTCAGTGACGGTTGATGGGATTCAACAAAATGTACTTTCTCACTGTCTATTTTTAAATGGCAGTCTCTTTCTGAGTTACCATAATCATCTGAGACTGATAAATCCTCTTCTTCCTTTTATGATCTATTTGGAATCAAATCCCACCCTTTCTGGTCGCTCACCAAAACAATATTTTATTGTTCTCTTTTCCCTGTAAATTTGTCGGAAAACTAAGAAAATGAAAGCTAACCTATGCGTCACATTAGGAAAATTAAAGTTTAGAAGAAAATAGAGGTAATTTGCATCAACGAATTCATCCTTTCAATAAATTTAGACCACTGCTTCAAAAATAATAGATAAATGTAAATGTCCAATGGTTTCCCTCTAAATTTGCAGAAAAATTAAAAACAAGGACAGCCCAATTATGTCAAAATAAAATCCCCAGGCCATATGTTACTGAACCTTATTCGAATATATTCTATGAAGAAAACAAATAATGAAAACCCTAATCCGCTATCTACCTCAGAAAATACCACACAAAGTTACCAAAAATAAAATAAAATAAAAAAACGCTATACCTAGAGATACTCAGATTAGGTTTTAATCATAGATGCCCATAATTATGTAGCCAAATGGTATTTTATGCCAAAAAATCTCATTGGAGAAAAATGTGGAAATTTTCACTGATTGGAAGTATGGCTGACTCCAAAAAAAAACACATAGCTCTTTCCACTCTCAATTGCAGTTTCAAAACCGAGTTGATTATTGATTGAAAAGCTCAAGCTTCGCAGCACGGTGAAGTGGAAAGAATACAGACAGAGAAAGAAGTGTGTATTAGGGTTTTAGGGAGGAGGGCGTACCGGGGCTGGGCTCTGCGGATCCAGAGAGAAGACGTTTTCTCGATGTTTATTGGCGATAAAGCAGACTCCGAGGAGCGCTTCAGCTCAACCTACCAAATGGACGATGGGAATCATTTGTTGGATCATCGCCGTCAATTGTAAAGATGGAAGTTGATAAAAGGGTACGTGGGTGCCACTCGCTCTCTCAGACCGTTCATCTATTGGATTGACGAGGCTCCCATCTAGTGGCCCATGCCTAAGCAACTTCACATAGTTGTTCTTCCTTTTATGTTTTTATAGGGAAATTAACGTTTGCATATCTAATTTTTGTATGTAATTTTAGTGTCGAAAATTTTAATACGACCTGAAAATTTACTTCACAACTAATTAAGAAGTTTAAAACTCAAAAACTAGTACAATTTGAGAATGGACAATCTAAATAGGTTTATATAAGGTTGTAGCTTTAAAATGTAGAACTATAGATGCACCTCAAAAATCAATTGGAAAAATGTTTTTTTAATGTTGAAAAACCGTCTAATTGATCATCTCGACAACTAGATATATGAATATAAAAAATAATAAAAATTTAGTCCCATAAATAATGTATCTTGCAACACATTAACTAGACCGTTCATTTTCAAGACTTTCACATGCTTATAGATCTTCTCGATTTTAACCATTTTTTAAGTTTAAAATTTTATATTTAGATATAAAAATAGATTTTTATATAATCCTAAAAAAAATTTACACCAAACTTACATATCATAATAAACTTTGGACGTGCGCCTTAATTGGATTGTTTAAAGTTGCAACCTTATAGAAACCATACCCTTACAAGATATACTATTTTGAGACTTTAATGTCTGTTTGTTTTTTAAATCTTTGTGTATCTCAATGTCGATATGATCAATTAGAGGTTTTTCAGTATTTTAATAATTTTGTTTGATGCATTTTTGAAGCATGCATTTTTTCCATAATATAAGGTTCCAGTCTTATATAAATTCTTTCCTTTAAAGAATATCCTCGATTTTTTTATTTTGTTATAAATATTACTTATTTTTTAGCTTTTTTATTTTTCCAAAATACTCATAAGATCGGTACTTTGAGTTTAGTATACGAAGTATCGAACATTTTATTGGCTTTTTATTTCCTTAAGGCTCTGTTTGCTTATCTTAGATATAGATCATCACATAATTCCCTAAGGGATCACTTGGTATGCATGAATTACTAACTTGTTATAGAAGTCCCTTGTAAAATATTTACATATGCAAACAATTTACATAAATAAATTACTCTAACATACTTTTCCCTAAGCAAAAGTGAGATAACTTATAATTTTGAGATAGTTTCTCTCTACAAATTTTTAAAGGAACCCATTTACCTTTGATACAATAAGACCATTTTGGGATTCTATGCAAATGATATCAAAGGTAATCACAATTATTTACAACTATCTGATGTGAAATTTGATAACTTAGATATGTCATAAAGTTCAAGAATTTTTTTTTGAAATTTGAGCTTGGTCAATGGAATTATTGTACCCACCCCATGTCATATCTAATGGTCAAGATCAATGTGACCACCTTGTACCATAGGTAAATGGTCACATTCGATACTTTTCCATTTTTAAATATTTTATCTATTTATAAATTAAATTCAAGATATTTTCTCTATAAATTTTGAGACAATTTCTCTCTCTAAAACAAAATTTTTGAAATAGTTTCTCTCTGAATTTTTTGAAGTAGTTTATCTCTAAGATTTGATATAATTTTCCTCTTTGAAATTTAAATATATAACCTCTTTCTAAAACTTAAAATTTGAGATAGTTTATCTTCTTAACATTTTTGAGAAAGTTTATCTCTCTAAAAATTACAGGTAATTTATCTATAAATTTTTTATATGTGTGGTTCCTTTTTTTTTTTTTTTTGACAATGTTATGAAGTTTTATTTATGGTTTGCTTAACAGGCATCGATTACATAGCTGGGATCAAAGCATCAGAAATAGACAATGAATGTAAAGAGACTCCATGTTTAGCAAAATTGTCACACCCCAAGAATTTACAATACAGATATTCCTGAGATGTGACAGTCAAAACATATATACATCTCTTGATAGGACAAATTTACAGTGGCGAAATCTTACAAAGTAACAAAAGAAAGCTAGCACAACAACAATATCTTCCAAGGTTGATCTTAACTAGCACTCAAAATGAATCCGCAGTTATCCTGAAAAAAATGTTTACCATAGTTTGATGAGTTTGACTACTCAATCAGTGATCATCATAATCCTAAAAATAATCATGATTGAAAGATATCAATATTTTCAAAAATGAGATATATTAACAAAAATGCATCAACAGTTTCACTTTCAATAAATGCATAATTAAGTATAATCCGAATAATTGAAATGCATATAACACTTTAACGGCAGTGCATAATTCAAAGGATTTCACAAAATACCCTATTCGCATCCTAAGTAGGTCACCTATATACCCCATCAGAATCCTGATGGGTCCACTTAATCCCTATCGGCGTCCCAGATAGGTCCACTTAATCACTGCAGGTCCACTTATACCTCACCGGGGTACCAGATGAGTCAACTTAATCCCTATCAGCATCCCAAATAGGTCCACTTATACTTCACCGGTGAACTGGATGAGTCCACTTGCATACTTAAAGTATTTCTAATTCTTTTTAAACATTCGAAAGGAGCAATATCATGTACTCAACATATCACTGAAATCACTAATATGAATTTCATTGAAACCATTGATAACAATCACTTTCAATAACATTTCAAAAATAACCAATCAAATATTTTGGGTTCAAATTTAGAAAGGCAGCAGTTCGTACAGACATTCTAGCATAATTGCTAATGTATAGACTCTTATAGAAATTCAAGAATACGGAATTATCACAATTTATAGGATGTCAATTCGCAATTAAACATTTCACAACAATACTATAATCAATTGCAAAAATATCAATTTTTTTTTAATAAGGCAGTCATTGCACATGAAATTTACAATGTCTAAATATTAAAAAACAGTAGAAAGAAATCTCACAATTTTACTAACAGCAGAAATATCACATTT